GCCGTCTGCTCCGCGCTGACGGTCGAGAGGCTCTTGCGGTGCTTTCGCTCCCGGCAGGAATGACCTCGGTTCTCAAACACCTTGCGGGGTGGGACGGGGGGTGGCACTTGTGATATTCAGCAGCTCTCACGCTCCTTCTTGCTCACCTGTTGGGTATCTCCGTGTTTCTGCGGGTGTGTGGCATGAATCTGGGTCTGTCTCTGACTGTGCAGTAAGTGAAGTACTACTGGCTTTTTTTTTTTCAAGTCTCCCAAAAAAAAAAAAAAAGACATTCCCCCCACCACCTACACACAGCATGTTTTCCTTGCTTGGTCCATCAAGCTATCCCAAAGACTTCAGAGGGAAAAAAAAAACTTATAAGTTTTGAGTGTATGTGCCGTAACAAAATTTTACAGCAGAATACTGTTAAATGAATTGGCTGGAGGCAGAGTTGTTCCTGGTGTTAGGCATCCTGATGTCTGCTCCCCTGCTCTTCCCACAAGACTTTTTTTTCCTCTCATTTTAGTATCAGCCTTGCAGTTCTTAAGCTACGTCCTTTAGAAGAAGGAATGCAGTATGAGCTGCAGCGGATGCGTTAATCTTGTCTAAGCTAGAGAGCCTGAGCTTTGAAAGCAGAAGTTGTTAACTGTGATTCTTAACAGTCTAAACCTTGATGTCTGCTGGGCTTTAATGCACACCCGAGCTTCTCTGCTTGTGTCTGGCCCTCTTCAGTGTGAGGGAAGGCTTGGGTGGCTCCGCGCTGGGGGGCTCCACTGCCACCAGCAGGCCGGGGCCCTCCAGGCCGCCGTTCTCCTTGAATTTGCACTCTCCACCACAGGACAAAATGATGTCTGAGAGGGCTTTGTTGAAGGAGCGTTACCAGGAGGTACTGGACAAACAGAGGCAAGTGGAGAATCAACTGCAGGTGCAGCTCAAGCAGCTCCAGCAGCGAAGAGAAGAAGAGATGAAGAACCACCAGGTATTTGGTGAAAGTCTTTTTTTATTTAAGGTGCCCATTAGCAATGACAGCTGTGCCATTAAGGTGGGCTGAATCAGTCTCATGGTGAGGGCCGCGGTGGGGTGCAGGCTGGCAGCCAGAAGCGGCAGCGGCATGCAGCATTGCAGTTTTCCCCATGTACTACACACGTATTCTTCTACAGCATCAGGGATTGGCCCCTGCCCAAATCTGGATGCTGAACAGTTTGCAATTAACTCCTAACACAGCACCTTGCATGCAAGTCACTTTCCTGCTGGTGATCTTGCAACATCATTTCAGTAAGGTTTTCCGCAGGAAAACTAGTGCAAGAGCTGGAAGTGAGGAGAAGTAAATCAATGTGATGAGCAGCTGGAAGTGAGGCAGACTAACTCCATGGGATTACTCCACGGGTGCCCTGGCCACTGGCTCAGAGACCACTAGATCAAACAAGTGCTTCACAGTCTCTATGGTAGCTCATGTTAGGACAAAAGGAACCATCAGGGACCCATCACTTTGATCTAAAGCGAGGAGTGGAAGTCATTGCCCCTTAAAATGTTTCTAAGGAGACAGGAGATCCGTACATAGGCTTTTTGTCTGTCTCCTGGGTTTCTTCGTAATAACCCCCATGTACCTTATCTGGGTCTTGATCTACTAAAAAGAAAGATTTTGATGATGCAGGCAATCTCTCTTCAACTTAACTAAGGCAGTAATGGTTTTAACAACAAAGAAGACTATTCCTTGGGGATTTCACTCTTTATTTGCATGAGACTTGTTTCCTCTAGGAGATTCTGAAAGCCATTCAGGATGTGACCATCAAGCGAGAAGAGACAAAGAAAAAGATGGAGAAAGAGAAGAAGGAATTCTTGCAGAAGGAGCAAGATCTGAAGGCAGAAATTGAGAAACTCTGTGAGAAAGGCAGAAGGTATTAATATGGAGAAGCAAGTGTTTGTTAGGAAAAAAAGGTCTAACTGAGCCCTGGTGTATGTCTGATTCAAGGAAGAGCAGTTTGAACTTTTGGAAGCAGCAAAATTTTCGGTGAGCAGTTGACGGGGGAGACCTGTTCAGTTTTGAACAGATCTACTAGAGACTGAGCAGCTCCTCTATACAGAGGATCTCAAAATGAAATTTTGGGGTAAAAGGTGGTTGTTTTGTCTGCCAACTGTACGCGTGGACAGAATTGGCAAAGAGGATGATGCCGCTCAGCTTTGAACGTGTTACCATCTTTCAGAATGCAGTGCATTTCCGCAGGAGGCAGTACTGTTCTCTTGGAGTGCTAGAAGCATGGTCCTGTTGGACTTACCAAGTCATCCTACTCCAAACTTCCCATTTAGGTAGGCTGCTCAAACAGCCTCGCACCTGGTGGTTTGAAAGGCTCCCTGCTGCGGTCATGCTTTGCTCTAAGAGGCAGCATAGTCTGTGCATGGAATCTCACTTCTGTGAAGAGAGGCTCTAAAGCGAGCAAGCTTTGACTTGTTTTGTGAAGAACTTGAGGTTCCTCTGGATGGTGAATTTGCACTTCTACATAGTCATTCTGTCTTGTTCTGGAGGTCTGATTTTTTGAGGGCTCAGTCGTAGCGTTTTTGGATAAAGCTTCTTCAGTAGTAGTTCCAAGAACTCAACCTCTCTTTTTCCCCCGTGAATGAACTGTTGCAAAGTACGTGTTGTCAGGGTGGCACAGCTCTCTGCAGAGGATTCTGGTTGTACACTGCAGTCTTTGTGCTGTATCATGATACAGCACACTTCTGCTTTCTTCTCATGCATGATGGTAGTGATTGCTTCCAAACGTTTATTGAATGGCTCAGTCTTCAGAGGAGGTAGCTATGCTGGGTGCACAGCTATGCAAATACCTCGTTTAAACTTGAGCCGTGCAGCATTAGTGGCTGTGCAATGACACCTTTGCAATAGGTGAGTCCATCTGTCCTTTTTCTCTTGTGCAGGTTGCTGAAAGAACAGGAGGAGAAGGAAAACAAGATTGCTTCTCTGATTGCAGAGCAGTCTGATGAGAAGTAAGGCTCTCTATTATCAGACTAATGCTGTTGAATAACTTTTTCCTTCTGGTCTCTTGCCTCCAGCTGCAGGAAGCAAAAGATATGTGGCAGATGAAAAATGAGATTTGCGTCACCCTAGAACATTTTGCTCTGGAGTGAATCTGGTGCTGCTGATGGGGATAGGCTAGAGAAGACAGTTGCCCAGCGCTGTCCAGTGAGGCACTCTAAGGGTTTTATCTCCTTTTCCAGCCGGCAGGGGCCCACAGTCTCTGGGATTAAATCCTCTTTGATCCTGGTCACAAGCAGGCTCCTGGATACTTGTGGCATGGAGATAAAGATCCTCTAAGATTAGAATTTATGCTCAGTGGATTGACACAGCTTGTAACTGCTACCTCTGATTGAATTTTGACTTCCAGGATTAGGGCAGAGCTATTTCTCTCAGTCCTGTCCCTACAATTGCCTGACTATTCTAAACTCTCGCACATCTCTGCGCAGCGCTAAGATACCTGAGGAGCTATGCTTTGATCTGGAACTTCTCCTGTAACACAGGTGGAAAGGGCCAACTTCAAGCTTCTCTGGAATTAGAATGACTTAAATCTGTGTGTTGATTCAGGTTACTTTTTAGTTCAAAACTGTGTGCCGTTCCCAGAGGAGTCTGACAGGTTTTTGATGAAGGGAGGAGCTCCCTGCTCCTCACCTTGCTCTAGCTGTACCTGTGTGTTTGCGTGCTGGTTGTTCACATGCTCTGGAACAGCTCATTCCTGGGACTGCGACTCATGCAGCCCTGATAAATGTGACTGGTGTCATGGCCTGGAAGCTGTCAATATTCCACAGTTCTGCACAATCAAGGGCTATAAGGATCAATGGTTTTGTGAGAGTT